TATTAATTCAACCTTAATCTGAGTTTCTAGACAAGAAAGAGGGTAAGCAATTGAAATTTTATTCTAAAACCCATCTTTTTTAGTCTTTTCATGACTTATGATTTGTCAAATTTGTAGTTTTCTTTATTGGTTTTGATGTTTATCTTAAAACTCAAGTTTCTTAGTTCTTTGCTCTTGGTGTAAATCGAACACATTTGTGGAATCGTTTAAATATATTGGATTTTAAACTGTCATACAATTTTTTTCATCGATAGTCTATAATTGGAACCATAACTCTTATTTATTCAAATTGTATTAATATGTAAAGACCAAGTGTAACTTATATCATCGTTAAATCTTATCTTATAAAACCAGTGGAACTTCTAAATCGTTAAAATTCATGGCTCCCGCCGCATTGCGCGGATACACAACTAGTATTATTAAATCAAAAATAAATGACTTTCTTACTAACTCTAATTAAATTATAAAAAAAATTAAAAAAATTACACAAAAACAATAATTTTTAAAATAGTTAATTTGATATTAATATTGATATATCTATTTTTAAAATTTTATGATATTTTCAAATTTATATTTTATTCAAAAACAAAAACATTATATTTTTCTCAAAACCACCTAAAAACCATATTAAAATATCTACAGAAACGGAATAAAACGAAATACTAAAATCGAAATATATCTTACTACATTGTACGGATACCCTTCTAATACTTCTCAAAGCTCAAAAATACATTGCTTTCAATATTCAACAACTCGTACGTTACTCTCAAAGGACATACCTGTTTACGTCTGAGTGGCCACCGTTCAACTTACTTTTAGAAGTAGGGTTTTTTAACGTATGAAATATATATCTTAAACTTTAAAGGGTGCTACAGAATATTAGAAAATATAAAAAAAAACATTAACAAAAAATAACGAAAAAAGTATTTCTAAAATTCGGCTAAAACATATCGAGCGATTTTGCAAACACGTAGGTGCCATTTACCTAAATGCTTAACGCTATGAGTCAACACTACAATTTTATTTTATTGGATAAGATTGTAGTACATCAAAACGTATCATATACAACAATTTACCTGGTAAACGCATACCCGGGTAAGAGCCGTCACCCTCATTTATCGGATAAGACTCTACATCCTTATCATTGCTCTAAACGGATAAAATTTTTGATCCTTACCATGTTCATCAAGTAAAAGGGTAGACTGTTGTTTTGTACCCATGATAAGATATTTAATTCACTTGTCTTCTAAATAACCAAATTGGTCCACTCTAAACCAAGTTATAAAGTGAATGATTGGAGTGCCCTTTGGCTTTCACATTTTCTTAAGAGAACGACTYGGCRAACATGGCGGACAATGTTCTCGACGTTATCACTTGTAAAGGTACATGTATTACTACTTTTCTTATACATGCGAAAAAAGGGTTTTATCGTCGTCGTAGCTAACGAAAGTGGTGGTGCAGCGGCGGTTGTACGGGAGCTGGGTGGGCCGGTGACGRTGGAGGAGATAAAAGTGGATCCACCGAAAGCATCAGAAGTCAGGATCAAGATGTTGTGTGCGAGCATTTGTCATACCGACATTCTATGTTGTAATGGCTTTCCCATTGTACGTAGTTGTCGAAAATGGTTTGCACGTAACGTTTTGAAATATCTGGTTATGTATTTTGATCTAACGTTTTTCTACGATTGCAGCCTTTATTTCCGCGTATTCCTGGACATGAAGGAGTCGGGTACGTATGTCACTCGTTTTAATAATTAATTCATTAAWTTATGGATTAATTATATAGCATGGTTTTGTGCAGAATGATAGAGAGCGTAGGGATAAACGTGAAAACCGAAGTGAAGCCGGGGGACATAGTGATGCCACTTTACCTCGGTGAATGTGGACAATGCTTGAATTGTAAATCAGGAAAGACCAACATTTGTCATGTGCACCCACTTGGCTTCGATGGTCTCATGCCCGACGGCACTTCCAGGATGTCGGTGGCTACAACCGGAGAAACCATATACCACCACTTTAGTTGCTCGACATGGTCGGAGTACATGGTCATTGACATCAACTACGTGCTCAAGATCGACCCAAAGATGCCTCTCCCTTACGCCAGTTTCTTGTCGTGTGGGTTCACCACCGGCTTTGGCGCACCCTGGAAGGAGACCCCGATTCACAAGGRTWCCTCTGTTGYTGTTTTTGGCCTTGGGGCGGTTGGTCTCGGGGTACATAACTCATCCTTCACTTGACGTAATAGTAATTGTTCGATTATAATCCACACCTGTATGACAGATTTACTGGGTTCTTTTGATTTGACTAATTTACAGGCTATAAAAGGAGCACAAATGCAAGGGGCATCGAAAATAATAGGAGTGGACATAAATGAAACTAAGTCGACTAAGGGAAAGGTGTTTGGGATGACCGATTTCATCAACCCTAACGACCATCCAAATCAATCGGTCTCCGATTTAGTGAAAGATATAACCGACGGGCTAGGTGTCGACTATAGTTTCGAGTGCACCGGAGTCCGATTGCTATTGAACGAAGCCATCGAGGCTTCCAAAATTGTAAGCACAATACATGATCCTAATTAACTTTCCAATTATCAGAAGATTTTATCCAATATTAGGGGGTGTTTGGAATTGTCTATTTGAAACAACTTATGTTTTTTTTTTTAAAAGCACTTATCAACTTATTATAAGTCAGAAAGATTTAATTTCTTCAAAAACTCCTTATTACCGGATTGGCACCTGTATAAGTTGTTTATCCAAACATTTAAAAGTGTTTATTACCCGTGTTACACCAAAATACGTCAATAAGTTGTTTTTATAAGCAATCTCGAACACCCCTTTAATGATTATAATTATTTAAATTTCAGGGATTAGGGACAACGGTATCGATCGGCGTTGGATTAGACCCAAATTTGGCAATTAAAAACACAACATTACTTTGTGGTCGGACAGTAAAAGGGTCATTTTTGGGTGGCGTAAAAACCCGATCGGATCTTCCCATCTTGATTGATAAATGCATCAATAAGGTAAAAGTTAAACCGTTACATGACATCCATTTTTGACATTGATAAATTCAGGGTGGTGCCTGATTGGTTTGAGCTTGGCTCTAAAGGTCAAAAGTACCAGGAGGTCCCAGGTTCAAATCCAATGAGGAATAAAAATCCCATTGTGGGAACGGAGGTTCAAATACGGTAAATCCAGGCGATCTGCAAAGCAGGTGGTCGTTCTGGGATTAGTCGGCTCGCATAGCGGGTTGGATATCCAAATTAATCAAAAAAAAAAATCTTTTTGTTATATTTATCTTTGTTTTTCCATCAGACGTATTAGCATTCTTTTTTATACATGTCATTTTCTTTTGTATGATATTAATTATGAAACTGCAGGATATAGACCTGGACGAGCTTTTGACACACGAAATACAATTCGAAAATATGCACGAAGCATTTGATATATTGAAGAAACCCGATTGCCTCAAAGTTCTCGTCAACTTCTGATTAAAATGAATCACGCAGGTGCTGTTTACCAAACGCTTGCTCGGGTAAGCGGTTACCAAGTCATTTTACTTTACCGGATGAATATGACAAGGGCTAATAATCTTACCTAGTAAGAGCGAAGACAATAATCGAGAGTTTTACCCGGTAAGTAAGGACGAGGACTCTTACCAGGATAAATTGTTGCATACGAGACGTTTTAGTGAATAAAATTTTACCTGATAAATAAACGATAATATTGAATTTTATCGATAAGTACTTACCGAATAAGTGTTTAAGTAAACAGCTTGTAATATCGTATATTTCATATTATGCACCAGACCCGTGAAAACAAAGTTTGTGACCTTTTTTTAGTCAATCAATAAAAAGAAAATGGTTGTGATCAATGTAATTATTTTTAATATTTATTTAGTTATATTCAAAATAAAAAATATGTATATTATATTATAAAGTATTTGACAAGAATTTTTAAAAATTATTTTTTATACATGAAGTACTGTTTATTGATGCATATTACTTAAAATTTAAGATTATAAATAATTGTATGTAAGTACAACTTATTAAAGTTTTATGTTTGAATTTGTATAACTAAGTGTAGATAAATATAGTCAAATACAAGATAAACATTAATATTTTATACATGTGTTTTTATGATAATACTAATCAGATCAATTATGTTCAACACTACAATAAAATTGATTTTATGACACCTAAAATGTAGAATCGTCTTTAAAAAAGTTCTATAAGACTTAAGTTTATACGACCAAACCAAAAAGTGTCATATCAAAAAGTGTTGCAATAGATTTATAGGACAATTTTAAAAGTTAAATTGATAGAAAAAAAAATTAACAATGCAAATAATCAATACTTTTTGTATAAAATTGAAAAGAATTAACATATATTCATTCATCGAAATTATTATTTTAATAATATACTAGAAGAGTATTCGTGCAATGCAGTGAGATACATCTTGATTTTAATATTTTATTTTATTTTTATCTCAATCGATGTTATAATATGGTCTTATGTGATTTTGAAAAAACGATGATGTTTTTATTTTTGAATAAAATTTAAATTTGAAGATATAATTAAAAAAATTGACAAAATTATATCGATACTAATATCAAATTAACCATTTAAAATTCCTCATTTTTTATGTAATTTTTTAATTATAATTTAATTTAGATGTAATAACGAAGTAATTTATATTTGGTTTAGTAATATAATTTTCTTATAAAGGTAATAGTTAATTATTTTGTTAAAACTCGATAATTATTCTAATTATATTTTTTATATTGAGATGTTTATCCTCTATTTGATTATGTTTATCCCTAGTTAATTACACAAATTCAAATATAGAACTTTAATAAGTTGTATTTATGTATAATTTACTCGTAATCTTGGATTTTAAGTAATATGCATCAATATACAATATTTCATATATAAAAAATAGTTTTTAAGAGTTTTTGTCAAAATGCTTTATAATATAGACATATAGTACAAATATTTAATATATTAATTATTTATTAAATTCAAAAAATAACGTGGATCACATGTCTTAATGGAAATATGTTTGGGCCTACTTTGCAGGCTGTTTTCATCCACTCAACATTTACTTTAAACATATCTGCAATTCCTCCTATTGGACCACGTTGATAGTTTCATGACGCTCTCAATTATTTAAAAGCTATAACAAGATGTTTATTACCGTCGGYAAAAATATTAAAATTTTAATCATATGGTGGTGTCTGATTAGTTTGAGCTTGACTCCAAATATCAAAAGTATCAGTAGGTCCCAAGTTTAAATCCAAGGAGGAATAAAAATTCTCTTGTGGCCACGGAGGTTCAAATACGGTGACTCCGAGCTATCTGCAAAGCARGTGGTCGTCCTGAGGTTAATCGGCTCGCATAGTAGGTTGGATATCCAGGTTAATAAAAAAATCGAATTTGATCTCTTTTTTTAACGGTTATTAGAAATTCCATTAACGAAAGCCAATTTCGTTCTTATATCGATCTTTTGTCTTTTACCTACTCAAAAATYGATAAAATGACAAAAATACCCTTCATTTGTCGGAAGGGGTTTGCTAACTATACCGCCCTTACAACAATCCATACTCGCTTTCATCACCCACTTCCCCTCCGACACAATAATATATCGGTCAACTTTAATCATTTTTAAATTTTAGATTTCATTTTATACCTTGATAATTAATTTTTTAAATTACTTTTTTATTTGTTGTTTTTTATTTTCCATTTTGCATATTGATCATGATAACATGTATCATTGTATATTAACTAAAATATGTTTATTCTTAATAAATTATATTATTGTAATCATCTTGTCAATACCTTTAAAATGAGYTCAATATTGAATATTTTTGAATTTAACCATATTATATATTACAAAATTACTTTTAACACTTTAAAGTTATAATTATTTATTAAAAATTTTGTTTTTACATCTTTTACTTTTCATTTTCATTTTACATATTTATCTGATTAACATACATAATCATGTATTAAAAAAATAGGTGTCTTTTCTTACAAATTACACTACTAATTATAATCATCTCGTCAATATTATTAAAATGGGTCTAATATTAAATATTTTTAAATATAATCATATTATTAAATATCATAAATACGTAAAAAAAATATACTTACTTAGATTTAATACTTACACTTTATATATTTATAGTTATTTATTTAACTTATTTTATATCCTTGATTTTCATTTTTCATTTTTTATTTTAAACCCTTATCATATTAACATATATAATTTATATATTAACTAAAATACATTAAAAATACGTTTTTTTTATAATTACACAATTATAAATATCTCGTCAATACCTTCAAAATGAGCTCAATGTTAAATATTTTTGTACTTAATTATATGACTAAGGGGTCGTTTACCTAAACACTTACCCGGTAAGCACTTATCGGTAATATTCAACACTATCGTTTACTTATCGGATAAGATTTTATTCACTAAAGCGCATCGTATGCAACAATTTATCTCGGTAAGCGCTAACCATGGTAAGGGCCCTCATCCTCACTTACCGGGTAATATTTTTGATTCTTGCCTTCGCTCTTACCAGGTAAGATTTTTAGTTCTTGCCATATTCATTCGGTAAAGTAAAGTGACTTGGTAAACACTTACCCGGGTAAGCGTTTGGTAAACGGCACCTAAGTGAAAAGTCTAGTATCCAATTAACTTTCTCATTTTAAATGTGATTATATTGCAATCTGGATGTCAATAGTAAGTTTATAACCATTACATAAAAGTGGTATTGATGAAACAGTAGTCAATGCAAAAAATTTCTCTACAATGCAAATTTTAAGATTTCCCGATACTACATTCACTACTGTAACACCCCAAAAATGGGACAACAAAAATTTTCAAAGAAAACAAAAATGTGGTATGTAAATATCGAAATACGAGCTTTCCAAAAAAACAAACTTAAAAGAAATAAGATTACAATGCGTAACTAATAGGTTTGAGGATAACAACCTTCTAATCTAATTCCTTAAAAGAAATAAAATTACAATTGGGTGTCGCCTAAACCTCGACTTTAAAAGATGGCGTCACAAAATGCYCCCCAAAACTCCCGCAGGCGGCTAAAAGACCACATATGCATTCCCACCTTTTGAACCTAGGATACATGTCAACAGCAAACAAGTGTTAGGCCAAAAAGGCTAGCGAGCATGAAGAAGAAATAAACAACCACAAGGTAATTAGTTAAAACCATTTATAAGCCAAGTACAACATTCTTGTGGAATCAACGGGGGAGATCTGTATCCATTGAAAGCAGGGGAGAACACAAAAGTATGGTTTTTTTTATTAACCTGGATATCCAACCCGTTATGCGAGCCATCTAATCTCAGGGCAATCACTTGCTTTGCGGGTAGCCCAGAAAGATCTAAACACAAAATCTAGTAAAAAAAAGTGAAAGCAATCTTGTATGTAACCAGCGACCGACGAAAGCTGAGGAAAGCAAAAAAAGTGCAGCTCTAACGGGAGACAAACCTGTGGAAACGGCGACCGATGAAGCTGTGGAAAAGGGCGACCGACGAGTAGATGAGGAAACCGGCGACCGACGAAGCTGTGGAAACGGCGACCGAAGACACCGGCGCCGGAGAAGATGGAGGCGATAACCTAAAGGCGATGACTTGGGGAGAGGGTGCGGCTGTTCCCTAAAGGGTGTGGAAGGGTAAATAGGGAAGACAGGGTAATCTGAATGGTTTAGCGAAGTCATACCCTCAAAATGGTTAAGAGGCTTGTGTAACTATTAAGAGGGTTTTTTTTTTTGCCAAACACATTACACCTCTGACAGATTAAGAGGCTGCCACTTAATGTCACCATTAAGTGGCAAACAAACAACCCCTAAAATTGCAACCTAACTTTAATACTTGTTTTTTTAACATTATTTGATTTCAATTGTTTTGATTAATATTATCGTATAATTAATTATTTCATATTATGAAATAATATCTATACTATCTTATTAAGCAAATTTATTAAAAGTCTTAAAGTCTTAAAATTCTAAATGACCAAGATACCCTTTTCACTTTTTCACTTTTTCACTTTTTCACTTTTTCACCCTTCATCTCCTCATATACACTCACCCTCTCACATACATTTACCTCTCACATTCAACGGATTTTTTTTAAAAAATTATAATTTTAAATTTACATTTTATATCCTTATAATTAGTTAATTAATTACTTTACATCCTTTACTTTTAAATGTTTCATTTTAAACTTTTATCAAATTAACATAYATARTYGTATATCAAATAAAACATGTTTAAAAAATACATTTTTATTTTAACAAGTTACACTATTATAATCGTCTCGTTAATACCTTCGAAATGAGTCCAATATTGAATAGTT